GATGAGGTGGAGGGAAGAGGGTACATGGCTGAGGGACGCGCGTGAGCAAATGCCTGGCGATGAGTCTGAGCTCCGGAACCGCAGGCCGCAGGGTCTGCGGGAGGCAGAGGATTCAGTGAACAGGCTGCCGGGCTGGACCAGCGGGTGCGGAAGGCTGCACACAGTGTTCCCTACATGCTTATCGAGGCCGGATCCAGGCTGGGAACAGTCCTGGCTCCCCCGACCACCCCCCTCCCGTCCTCCACCTCTGACGAACACTTCCGGTTCCCACAGATTGACCTGGTGCAGTGCGGCATGACCCCCACCGCCCCAGCCCGCCCCGGGAAAGTGCAGGAGCTGTGGGGGGACTGGAGTCTGAGCCCCCTGGAGAACGGCCGCCACCGCCGCCGCAGCCAGGTAGGACGGGAGGACAGGAGTGGCTCTGGACCCGCCGGGGGTGGCCAGGGGCTGACTGAGCTGTCACTAACCAACTGCTGAGGCAGCGGGTTGGAGTGCCCGGGGGGAAACTGAGGTAAGCTGACAGTCCTATTGGGTGCCCACAGGAGAAACTAAGGCAGGGCTTAGTCTGTTGTGTGCAGGGGGGGAAACTGAGGCAGGGTGATGCCGTCCTATTGGGTATCCATTAGAGAAACCGAGGCAGGGAAAGTCTCATTGTGGGTCTTTCAGGGAAACCTTCCTGGTTCCTGCTTTTGGGGAGGCAGGGCTGTCTCACTGTGTCCACAGGTGAGAAGAGGCAGGGAGACAGTCCCGGTGTGTCCATGGGTAAACTGAGGCAGGACAGCGGTCTCCGCATGCGTCCATCTGGAACACTGAGGTGCCCCCTCTCCCGCCCCTCCCCCCAGATGGAGCTGGAAACACTGGTATTGTCCCGAAGCCTGATGCAGGAGCTGCAGAGCTCGGTGGACGCCCTGGAGACCAGCGTGCGGGGCCTGCCCCAGGGCGCCCAGGAGAAGGTGGCCGAGGTGCGGCGCAGCGTGGACAGCCTGCAGGCCGTCTTTGCGGACGCGCGCTGCTTCAGGGATGTGTCGGCCTCGGCGCTGGCCGAGGGCCGGGGCCGAGTGGCTCGGGCCCACGCCTGCGTGGATGAGCTGCTCGAGTTGGTGGTGCAGACCATGCCGCTGCCCTGGCTCGTGGGGCCCTTCTCGCCCATCCTCGTAGAGCGGTCGGAGCCCCTGCCTGACCTGGAGAACCTGGTGGACGAGGTTGTGGGGGGCCCTGACCCCCGCTGGGCGCATCTGGACTGGCCAGCCCAGCAGAGAGCCTGGCAGGCCCAGCACCGGAATGGGATAGGCCTCCCGGAGGACATTCCAGAGGAGCCCGAGCCCCCCAGCCGCCCCAAACACACCTTGATGCCGGAGCTGGACTTCTGATCCAATAGGGCCTCACTGCCAGGGGCAGCAGGAGGCTGCCCTACACGTCCATAGCCTGCTGCCCTCTAGTGGCCACACTGAAGCACAGCAGCCAGTACCTTTACCCTGGCCCAGGCACGGAGTTGGGGGTTCCCCTGGAATCTGGACCAGCTACTCTGACATCAGACCCTTCCCAATCTCTCCCTTGAACATATGAGGACATGAACCTAACTCATATCTGACTAGTCTCCATCTGGATTCATCTGTCTGTAGTCACATGTTCCCTCACCCCAAGAAGCTGATCAAAGCTCCTCAGAGAAACACATTTTGCCTAACGGCTTCTATTTGGGGCTTTGAAAAGCAAGCATCCACCTGCTCCCCCAGCTTGTACATCCTGGACTGAGGGGTCCCCAAAGAACTGGGTTGCACCAACTGGGCCAGCCGGACCCACTTGCTATGCTGTTTGGGGTATGCTATCCAGAATAAAGGTGCTTTGTGTTGTTCTGGCTGGGGTGAGTCTCAGTTACAGGGTGCCCCGGGGTCTCAGAGATGTGAATGCATGGCACAAGCCAGGGTTCGAGATTTGAAAGGAGTGATGCCCACTCCCCCCACCACCACCCCCGCTTGCCACCCTGCATCCTGTCTGTACTTCCACCCTTAGTGCCTAGCCCATCGCCTTAAGCATTGCCCCTTCAGATGTAGCTTCCTGGTGTGAAAGTTCACACTATCAATGAATACCTTGGAACTGCAGGGAGCAGGATCTTGAGGAGAAGTTACAGAAGTCAGTCCTCCTATGCCCATCTCCCTGCACCCACAGTTGCTGATCTTGCTGTGGTTTCTCCACTGTTCAGGACTGGGGAGACAGAGACAGGGCAAGGGCCATGGCCAGTCTCATGGGGGCCCTCCCATCTTCTGACCACATTCTTGGCTGCCCATCAGACTCCCCTCTGGCCAGGCCGGGTGTTGGGAAATCACAGCACGATTGGGTGAGGTCAGGGTGGCCCCTGGCTTCCCTGGGACCCAGCCCAGGGGCAGCTCTGGGAGCCCTGACCACCTCCCACTGGCCAGATTCACTTCCCTGCCCCTGCTCGGGAACCGCCCTGGGGATGAGTCCCAGCCTTGCCTGCAGGTGGGTAGGCAACTTATTTTTCCTCTCCAAACATGTTCTCCTCCGAAAAATGGGTATCTCATGCCCAATCCTGGTAAACACCTCCCCCACAGAAGCTATTATTCACTTATTCATTCAACAAATACAGGTTATCCCAAAAAATGTATACACACCTTGAATAATCACTAATTCCAATGGGTTGAATCTGAAAAGAAACATCAATTGAGCTATCAGCTGTTAAAAGTGTGTAAACTTTTTTTTTTTTTTAACAACCTGCATTTATAGAGCACCTGCTGTGTGCTAGGCAGTCTCCACCTTGGGGACATGGCAATGAGCAAAATGGATCAAAGTCCTGCCCTCTGTGACATGACAATACAGTAGGAGATGGGCAACACAAGAAAAATAAATATATTACTTTTTTTTAGTGTTAGTAGAATAAGAACAATAAAAGGGGAGGACAATGGGTAGTATGTGGACATTTGAGGAGAGATGTATATTTTTATTTTTTAAAATATATTTCTTTGATTTCAGAGAGGAAGGGAGGAGAGACAGAAACATCAGAATCAGAATCTTTGATCGGCTGCCTCCTGCACACCCCCTACTGGGGATCGAGCCCGCAACCCAGGCATGTGACCTTGGCTGGAATCGAACTTGGGACTCTTCAGTCTGCAGGCTGACGCTCTATCCACTGAGCCGAGTCGGCTAGGGCGAGATGTATATTTTTAAATAAAAGAGGGGATCCAGCGAGGCCTCTCTGACATATGAGCAAAGACTGGAGAACATTCCAGGTAGAAGGCACAGCCTATGTAAAGGCGCCGGGGCACAGCGCCTGTTGGAGACACAGCAAGAAGGCCTGTGTGGCTGGAGCAGGGGGCGGGGGTGGGGGTGGGGTGGGGGAGTACAATGAAGGCAGGAAGAAGACAGGGGCAAGTCACCCAGGGCCTATGGACCACAGGGAAAACTTGGGCCTTTCCCCCAAGGGAGGTGGGAGCACTAGAGGGCTGGGGCAGAAAGAAGACAAAGCCTGACTTGGTATTGATTTCAGAGAGGAAGGGAGGAGAGCTATAGAGACATCATTGATGAGAGAGAATCATTGATTGGCTGTCTCCTGCACGCCCCACGCTGGGGATCGAGCCCACAAGCCAGGCATGTGTCATGACTAGGAATCGAACCGTGACTTCCTGGTTTATAGGTTGATGCTCAACCAGAGCCACACCGGCCATGCCATTTTTATTATTTTGCTGGGGAGAGGGGCATACTCAGAATCCAGCTCCCCAATCCCGCAATGTCACCTTTCGGAAGTTAAGGGCAGGGGCTGGGGAATCCCCCTTTTGTTCTTTGGCTGTTTGACTCCGAGGGGACAACCTGGGATTCATCAGGCCCAACAGCAGGACCTCCCTTCTCCCAGCTCAGAGCCCAGAGCCACCAGCTGGATCTCTCTCCAACCCCCAGTAGCATATGACGGCGACCCGTTTCAGGGGCAGGCTGGGAGTAAACAGCCCAGGGAGGGCATGGCAGCCACTCCTCAGCTCATCTGAGCACCCATCCAGACAGCCCACCCTGCACACGGGCTCAGGGTCTGGGTCTGAATCCTGTCTCTGCCACTTCTGGCTCTGTGGCCTTAGGTACAAAATACCTCCTCCAGGAAGCCCCCTTGGATTGGCCCAAGCCTACCAGGCCTGCTTCTCATGGGCCCTGGGCCCAGCACCTTTCCCCTGCTCTCAGTACTGGGCCACCTCTGCCCCTAGCACCCGCCCCACCAAGCTGAGTGATTCACAGGCCATCCTATGTTCCAGGCTCTGTTGGCGCTCTGTCTTGGTCTGTTTTGTTCCCTTTCTCAACAAAAGTCCCTTCTGGGGAGTGACATGTCCCACCCCTGCTGAGGACAGACGCTGCTCCTCTCTGCCTGGACAATGCTAAGCTAATGTCTACTGAGCACCTGCTGGATACCAGGCACAGGGATAAACAGGTTACATGTGTGATCTCATTTCACACTCACAACTACCCTATGAGTTGGCTCATTTAGTCCAACATTTATTAAGTGCCAACTGTGTGTCAGGTACTGTTCTATTGCAGGGAACACGGGAAGGGAGGGAGCTGGGTGGGCGTTTGGGGAAAAGTGCTATAGGCAGGAGACATAGCCCATGCAAAGGCCCTGAAGCAGGACCATGCCAAAAGATTTGGAAAAACAGCAAGGAGGCCCCTGTGGCTGGACTGATCAGAGGCAAGATCCAGGGGAAATGAGGGGAAGAACATTGTGGACCAGTGAGGAGTCTGAAGGGGAAACTGCGGCCAAGAAATCCCAGAAGAACTTAGATTTGAACCATGTCCATCTCATGGATAGAAAGAACAGACCAAGAGGGCATATAGGCTGTGTCTCAGGAACATGAGATGGCCTGTGAATCACTCAGCTTGGTGGGGCGGGTGCTGTGGGCAGAGGTGGCCCAGAACTGAGAGCAGGGGAAAGGTGCTGGGCCCGGGGCCCATGCAAGCTGGGCCTGGCGGGCAGGCACGTGACCCTCCAGGGCCCTCCCCCAGCAGGCTGGCCGCCTGCCTCTGCAGGCCAGGCCTGCGCCTGCCCCAGACCCTATAAGGCCTGGGAGCTGAAAGCAGAGCCAGCTGCCAGCTGCGCCGCCAGACACTCCAAAGGACCCTCTCGTAGTCCAGGTGAGCAATGCCAGGGTGAGGCAAGGTCTCCAGCTGGGTGTCCGGGAAAGTCTGGGGGCTATGGGTGTGGGGCAGGAGGCATGGGAACCCCACTTATGAACCATCTCTGCCCCCTCCCAGCTGCTTAGAGCACTAACATGTCTGCTCAAGAGGAAGGAGGCCGGAAGCCCCACAAACCCAAGGGCAAGGTGAGGAGAGGCATGGGAGGGGGAGACCCCTGCTAAGGCCTGGAGACCCCCAGAACCTTGCAAAGGTGACCTCCACAATCCTCAGCTCTGAGAGGAGCTTCCTGGGTGGGTGAAAGGGCTCTGAGAGCCAAGGTGCTAACTCTTCCCTCCTGTCCCAAGCGGGAATGGGGCAGACTTCGGCTACTTTCCTACTTTTTGACTCTGCTAGCCACAGCCCCTCTCTCAGCCTCAGTTTCCCCATTTGTGAAATGGGGGCTGTGGAGACTTAAAGGAGGACCTTTTCCCCTTCCATGAAAGGCCAGCTGCATCTGCCCATTGTCCAGATTAGGAAACTGAGGCTTAAAACTAACTGCCACCCAAAAACAAGAGCCTGAGAGGTGTGGAAGCCCAGGACTGTCTGATGCTTTCCCCCACCCCATCCCATCTCGGTCCAGCCTGCTCATGCTGCCCTCTCCCCACATAGACCCTGAGCAACTTCTTGGGGTTCCTGCCTGGATTCAATTCTGCCCGAAACCTGGCCAATGCTCACAGCTCAGCAAGAGAGGCTGATCCCATAGGTGCTCCTGCTCCCGAGGCCACCCATCCCCAGGCCCAGGGTGAGTACACAGCTCAATAGGGTGGAGAGTCTGGGGGGACTCCAGCAATTGGAAATCCCCTAGCAGGGACTTCTGGCCACTTTGGGACATTTCTTATGTGCCTGCATCATCTAAATAGACACTACAAGACTGGCAACACTCATTTAGCACCAGATGGGGAAACCGAGGCATAAATATGGCAAGTGGGTGGCTCAAGGTGCATAATCATTAAAAGTGGGGGTGTGAACACAGCCTATCTGCCTTCAGTACCACTCACACTTTCCACCCCGCCCTCACCTCCCATCACCCATGTATGATGCCTGTGGACCAGGGCCTGGGTGTTCTGCAGGCAGACCTTGTTGGGGATGGCAATCCTGGTTCCCCAAAAGGGATAGTGGCTTCCCTGGGATGGCAGAGCCTGGGGAATTCCCCACCCTAGTTACTCAGCCAGAGTACTTGGGGACAATGGGGGGGGGGGGGGCTGATGCAGGGGTGGGGGAGGGGGAGGCGACCCAGGTTTGGGTGGCTGCCCGGGCTGGGCCTCATTGTGGGCCGAGCCCTTGGCAGCTGACTTCTGCTCCACATACTCAGGCCTGACAGGCAACTGCCAGCTGTAGCAGAGGTGGGGCGGGCCCTGACTCCTCTCCCTGCAATCGCCCTGGGTGGGCGTACAGCACCCAGGACTCATGTGGAGAAAACCCCAGGGAGCTCCTCAGTTCCAGGGGACTGAGGCCCTGGGGGGCCAAAAGGAGCCAAGCCCATGGCCACAGATGTCACCTCCTGCTGTCCCTGGCGGGCTGGCTGGGACATTCCTGACCTTTTGGGCTGTGCCCGCCAATTGCGCAATGGGCACCAGAGCAGCTGATGCCAGCCCGCTTCCCTTGCATTCCCTGGGCTGCCTGACCAGTTCCTGTGCCCATAGCAGCTACCGACCCGAAGCAGATGGCCACGGAGGTGGAGAAGCTGCCGCCGCCTCCAGACAAGGTGAGTGGCTGTCAGGGCCTGGCCGACGGCCTCTGCCTCCTACGGGAATGTTTTGGTTCCTGCCCAAGGGGAGAGCAGACATCCCTCTAAGCTTCCACTGCCACATCTGTGAAATGGGTGCAGTACTGCCTCACTGCCCACACGGTCAGGCTCCAAACTACAAACCGCCCCTCACTCTGTCTAGCCTGTGGGGACCCAGAGGCAACTCACCATGTGTCAGCTCTGGACACTGTACTTCATACGAGCAGCTTAACAGTCAATCCTCCCAGCCTCCCTGTGAGGAAGGGGTAAGTAGCATCCCACAGGACAGCTGAGGCACAGAGCTGAGCCACCTGCCAAGAGTCATGGCAGGTCATGGTAGTTTGGGACTTGAACTCACGGGCAGTCAGAGGCTGAACTACAGCAATGCTGCATCCACCCCTGGTCCTGAATACATGGGGACGGCCCATGTTGTCCTGTACCCAAGGCTGGGCCAAGTGGATGGACTGGTGTAAGCCAGCTGAGGCCACAGAGGGTGGCAGAGCCCTGATAGGAACTCTTCTGCCCAGCACATGCCCACACCCTGGTCTTCCTAGCCGCCCTCTACCCTCAGCTCAACCAGATCTTAGCATCTCAGAAGGGGAAGAACCTCGACAGGTCCTTCTGGCTGAAATTAAAACAGACCCCTCACTTCTCCATTTATGCAATTCTTTTCTACTCCTCTTCACTCATGTTAACTGAACACCTACTATCTGCAAAGTGCAAATAACCTTTAATCCATAATCCTTGAAGGTAGTGCTATTTTAATCTCTTTAATCCATAATCCTTAAAGGTGGTGCTATTTAAATTTCTTTAATCCATAATCCTTGAAGGTGGTGCTATTTTAATCACCTTTCAGAAACTGGCTTGGAGAGGGGATGTGGCTTTCATACAGTGAGTGCAGGAAAGCTGAGATTTGAACGTGGGTCTCTGCGGGCACAGAGCCCAAGGTGCCCACTTGATTTAACCCTGGGCAGGAAACAGTGTGAGAATAAACTTCTCAATGTCAGTACCGTGGCTATTTGGGGCAGGATCATTCTTGGTTGTGGGGTTGCTCTGGGCACTATGGGGTGTTGCACAGCATGCCAGGCCCGCAGGCAATCAATGCAAGTAGTGCCCTGTGGCCCCAGTCACAACTATCACTGATGTCCCCAAACACTGCCCACCGTTTCCGGGGAGGGGCTGGGGGGAGAGGGAGGCTGGATCTCCCCAGGTGAGAACCACTGAATTAAAAACAGCACCCCCTTGCCGGACCGGTTTGGCTCAGTGGATAGAGCGTCGGCCTGCAGACTGAAAGGACCCAAATTCGATTCCGGTCAAGGGCATGTACCTTGGTTGCGGGCACATCCCCAATAGGGGGTGTGCAAGAGGCAGCTGATGGATGATTCTCTCTCATCGATGTTTCTAACTCTCTATCCCTCTCTCTTCCTCTCTGTGAAAAATCAATAAAATATATATATATTAAAAACAAAACAAAAAAAAAAAAAACAGCACCCTCAGGGCTGAACCTGAGTGCTGGCAACCCTGAGGCCATCACGACCCTTTGGTATTGGCAGAAACTGCCATTGGGTAGGTTAAAAATAATTAAAGTTTATTGATAATTTCCTATGGTTCGAACCCAATACTTGCCCCTGTACTTGTGTGGTTACTACTTTTCCAAATGTTCATTCCCTTCTCTTAGTTGAATATATTCATTTTAATGAACAATCTGGCCTCTCCTCAGTTAACGGGGAAACCAGGCTCAAATTCTGCCAAAAACAAACAAAATTCAATGGCTTGTTGAGCCTAAGGCATGGATACCACCAAGGCACCTCGTCAAGGGCTGCAGAGTGTTAGGGACCCGCTGTCAGCAAAGGGGCTCTATTGGGCCAGACAAGTAACTTGACGTGATGGAGTTTGTGAAGGCTGTGTCCTGGGAGGCCATGGGTACCTCGGGGGTGGGAAGTGAGGAGGCAGGGCCTCTGGGTGACAGATTCCACTTACCAGGCCCATCAGAAATCAGGCTGGCAGAAGTCTGCCTCCCAGCTCTGCTCTTGACCACACATATCCTTTCTTGTCAGATGATCTCTGGGGTGAAGGACCAGGTGTGCTCCATGATGACCAAAACGAAAGATGCCATCTCCTCTGGAGTGGCGAACATGACAGACTCAGCTAAAGGTGTGGCGCAGAGAGGTCTTGGAATGTCCCAACCTGAGCACACCGGAACCAAGGAGGCTGCGGCCAGCGGGGTCACAGGGACAGTGGATATGGCCAAAGGGACCTTTCAGGCTGGTGTGGATACCACCAAGATGGTGCTGACCGACACCAAGAACACCATCTGCAGTGGAGTGACTGGTGCTATGAATATGGTGACAGGGGTTGTACAGGGAGGCCTGGACACCACAAAGACAGTCCTTACTGGTACCAAAGACACAGTGTCCACTGGCCTCACTGGGGCAGTGGGTGTGGCCAAGGGTGCAGTCCAAACTGGTGTAGACACCTCCAAGACCATCCTGACTGGCACCAAAGACACAGTGTCCGCTGGCCTAACTGGAGCAATGGGAATGGCCAAAGGTGCCGTCCAGACTGGCATGGACACTACCAAGACGGTTCTCACTGGCACCAAAGACACAGTGTCCGCTGGCCTCACTGGGGCAGTGGGTGTGGCCAAGGGTGCAGTCCAGACCGGTGTGGACACCTCCAAGACCATCCTGACTGGCACCAAAGACACAGTGTCCACTGGCCTCACTGGCGCAATGGGTGTGGCCAAAGGTGCCATACAAACTGGCATGGACACTACCAAGACCGTTCTCACTGGCACCAAAGATACAGTGTCCACTGGCCTCACTGGGGCAATGGGTGTGGCCAAAGGTGCCGTCCAAACTGGCATGGACACTACCAAGACCGTTCTCACTGGCACCAAAGACACAGTGTCCACTGGCCTCACTGGCGCAATGGGTGTAGCCAAAGGTGCCATGCAAACTGGTGTGGACACTACCAAGACCGTTCTCTCTGGCACCAAAGACACAGTATCCGCTGGCCTCACTGGGGCAGTGGGTGTGGCCAAGGGTGCAGTCCAGACCGGTGTGGACACCTCCAAGACCATCTTGACTGGCACCAAAGACACAGTATCCGCTGGCCTAACCGGAGCAATGGGAATGGCCAAGGGTGCTGTCCAGACTGGCATGGACACCTCCAAGACCATCCTAACTGGCACCAAAGACACAGTGTCCACTGGACTCACTGGGGCAATGGGTGTAGCCAAAGGTGCCGTCCAAACTGGTGTGGACACAACCAAGACCGTTCTCTCTGGCACCAAAGACACAGTGTCCGCTGGCCTAACCGGAGCAATGGGAATGGCCAAGGGTGCTGTCCAAACCGGTGTGGACACCTCCAAAACCATCCTAACTGGCACCAAAAACACTGTGTCCACTGGCCTCACTGGGGCAGTGGATGTGGCCAAGGGTGCTGTCCAGACTGGCATGGACACTACCAAGACCGTTCTCACTGGCACCAAAGACACAGTGTCCACTGGCCTCACTGGGGCAATAGGAGTCGCGAAGACTGCCGTCCAGACAGGCGTGAACACCTCCAAAACGGTCCTCAGTGGCACTAAAGACACAGTGTCCGCTGGTCTCACTGGGGCAATGGGTGTGGCCAAAGGTGCCGTACAAACTGGCATGGACACTACCAAGACAGTTCTCACTGGCACCAAAGACACAGTGTCCGCTGGCCTCACTGGGGCAGTGGGTGTAGCCAAGGGTGCAGTCCAGACCGGTGTGGACACCTCCAAGACCATCCTGACTGGCACCAAAGACACCGTGTCTACTGGCCTAACTGGGGCAATGGGTGTGGCCAAAGGTGCCATCCAAACTGGTGTGGACACTACCAAGACCGTTCTCTCTGGCACCAAAGACACAGTGTCCACTGGCCTCTCGGGGGCAATGGGAATGGCCAAGGGTGCTGTCCAGACTGGCATGGACACTACTAAGACGGTTCTCTCTGGCACCAAAGACACAGTGTCTACTGGACTCACTGGTGCAATGGGTGTAGCTAAAGGTGCCGTCCAAACTGGTGTGGACACTACCAAGACCGTTCTCTCTGGCACCAAAGACACAGTGTCTGCCGGCCTAACCGGAGCAATGGGAATGGCCAAGGGTGTTGTTCAGACCGGTGTGGACACCTCCAAGACCATCTTGACTGGCACCAAAGACACAGTTTCCGCTGGTCTCACTGGGGCAGTGAGTGTGGCCAAGGGTGCCGTCCAGACTGGCATGGACACTACCAAGACGGTTCTCACTGGCACCAAAGACACAGTGTCCGCTGGCCTCACTGGAGCAATGGGTGTGGCCAAGGGTGCAGTCCAGACCGGTGTGGACACCTCCAAGACCATCCTGACTGGCACCAAAAACACTGTGTCTACCGGCCTAACTGGGGCAGTGGGTGTGGCCAAGGGTGCTGTCCAGACCGGTGTGGGCACAACCAAGACAGTCCTCACTGGCACCAAAGACACAGTGTCCACTGGCCTGACCGGGGCCGTAGGTGTGGCCAAGGGTGCTGTCCAGACTGGTGTGGACACTTCCAAGACCATCCTGACTGGCACTAAAGATACAGTGTCCGCTGGATTCACTGGGGCAATAGGAATAGCCAAAGGTGCTGTCCAAACTGGTGTGGACACCTCAAAAACCATCCTGACTGGCACCAAAGACACAGTGTCCGCTGGCCTCACTGGAGCAATGGGTGTGGCCAAGGGTGCAGTCCAGACCGGTGTGGACACAACCAAGACAGTCCTCACTGGCACCAAAGACACAGTGTCCGCTGGCCTCACAGGAGCAGTGGGAATGGCCAAGGGTGTTGTTCAGACCGGTGTGGACACCTCCAAGACCATCTTGACTGGCACCAAAGACACAGTTTCCGCTGGTCTCACTGGGGCAGTGGGTGTGGCCAAGGGTGCTGTCCAGACTGGCATGGACACTACCAAGACGGTTCTCACTGGCACCAAAGACACAGTGTCCGCTGGCCTCACTGGAGCAATGGGTGTGGCCAAGGGTGCAGTCCAGACCGGTGTGGACACCTCCAAGACCATCCTGACTGGCACCAAAAACACTGTGTCTACCGGCCTAACTGGGGCAGTGGGTGTAGCCAAGGGTGCTGTCCAGACCGGTGTGGACACAACCAAGACAGTCCTCACTGGCACCAAAGACACAGTGTCCGCTGGCCTCACTGGAGCAATGGGTGTGGCCAAGGGTGCAGTCCAGACCGGTGTGGACACAACCAAGACAGTCCTCACTGGCACCAAAGACACAGTGTCCGCTGGCCTTACTGGGGCAGTGGGTGTGGCCAAGGGTGCTGTCCAGACCGGTGTGGACACAACCAAGACAGTTCTCTCTGGCACCAAAGACACAGTGTCTGCTGGCCTAACCGGAGCAATGGGAATGGCCAAGGGTACTGTCCAGACCGGTGTGGACACCTCCAAGACCATCCTAACTGGCACCAAAAACACTGTGTCCACTGGCCTCACTGGGGCAATGGGTGTGGCCAAGGGTGCAGTCCAGACCGGTGTGGACACAACCAAGACGGTTCTCACTGGCACCAAAGACACAGTGTCCACCGGCCTCTCTGGGGCAATAGGTGTCGCAAAGAGTGCAGTCCAGACAGGTGTGGACACCTCCAAGACCATTCTGACTGGCACCAAAGATACAGTGTCCGCTGGTCTAACCGGAGCAATGGGAACGGCCAAGGGTGCTGTTCAAACTAGTGTGGACACCTCCAAGACCATCCTCACTGGCACCAAAAACACTGTGTCTACCGGCCTAACCGGGGCAGTGGGTGTAGCCAAGGGTGCCATCCAAACTGGCATAAATACTTCGAAGACTGTTCTTATGGGAACCAAAGACACGGTGTCCACTGGACTCACTGGGGCAATGGATATGGCCAAGTGTGCTGTCCAGACTGGTGTGGATACCTCCAAGACCTTCCTGACTGGCACCAAAGACACAGTATCCACTGGCCTCAATGGGGCAATGGGTTTGACCAAGGGCGCTGTCCAGATTGGTCTGGGCACTGTACAGAATTGGTTACCAGCTTCAGGGGAAAGCTCCTATGGTGGACTCACCAAGAACTCGGAGACAAACAAATTTGGGCAACAAACTGTGGTAAAGCCCCTGGAGGCTTCCTCCTGCATGGTCTCCAGCCTCCCTGACACTCTCTGTGCAGGCCATGTCCTTGCCACAGAAGCCACTGCAAGAACCCAGAGCCTTGGTTCCACTGTGGTAACAATCACACGAGGAACCTCACTGGGTACGGAGGATGTGGGGTGCACGGCCACCACGCACAGCCAGGAAGGTGTCACGGGCTTCCTGACACTTCCAGAGGAACTGCGGGAGATCTTCCACCCCATGACCGCTGAGGAGCAAGGTGAGACTAGCAGTCTTAGTGGGTGCTTGTCATCTGTACAGCAAGGGGACTCCTGGGTTGAGTAATCTCATCTTCCCTTCCAGCTCAATTGGTGGCTTCTGAGCCTGGGCCCAGGGTACCCGCAGCAGACCAGAGCAGTTACTTCGTGCGTCTTGGTGATCTGGCCCACAGCTTTCGCCAGCGGGCTTTCGAGCACACCCTGAGCCATTTGCAGCACGGCCAGTTCCAGGCTAGGGCTACACTGGCCCAGCTTGAGGACTCCATTAGGCTGGTAAGAGTGTTTCCCTCTCCAGGGTGTCTTTCTCAGAATATCTCCCCATGACTTCCCCTACCACATCTGTCAGCCACTAAGACAGCCACAGATTGTTCTCGTGGGGCTTGTGTCCCAGAGAGGGAGATGGACAATCAAACTAAATGCAGTAGTGCCCCCCGACCCCATATCTTTGGGAGAGATTTTCCAAGACTCCCTGTGGATGCCTAAAACCATTGATAGACTGAACCCTAAATATGTATACTGTTTTCTCCAACACATATAATACCTATGATAAAGTTTAAATACATATATTTTATTGATTTTTTACAGAGAGGAAGGGAGAGAGCTAGAAACGTTGAGGAGAGAGAAACATTGACCAGCTGCCTCCTGCACACCCCCCCACCGGGAACGTGCCCACAACCAACGTACATGCCCCTGACCGGAACTGAACCTGGGACCTTTCAGTCCGCAGACTGATGCTCTACCACTGAGCCAAACCGGTCTATGATAAAGTTTAATTTATAATTTAGGCACAGTAAGAGATTAACAGTAATAGAATAGAGCAATTATAACACACTGTAAGTGATGTTACTGTTGCATTAAGTAAAATAAGGTGACTTGAACATGAGTGCTGTGATACCCCAATAATTGATTTGATAACTGATATGGCTACTGTGTGACTAACAAGAGGGGCATCTATAGAGTGGAGACACTGGACAAAGGGATGTCCCGGCAGGACAGAGCAGGCCATTTGCGATCTCAACACACTATTCAGAACAGCCATTTTTAAATTATGAATTGTTTATTTCTGGAATTTTTCTTTTAATATTTTTGAACCGTGATTGGCTGCAGGAACTGAAATTGTGGAAAGTGAAAGTAACCATAAGGGACTGATATACCTACAAAAAGGGATGCAAAGAAAGAAACAAGACAACCATGCAGACAGAGAGGGTCTAGGCTGGGCAGGAGAGCGCCTCTTGGAGCCACATTGTGAATGCCAAGGGGCCATGCGGAGGTGGGGAGAAGTGGGACCATAAGAAAAGACTACCCAGTCCTAACTGGGTAGCTCAGTTGGTTAGAGCATCATCCCAATATGCCAAGGTTGCAGGTTCAATCCCCAATCAGGGCACATATAAGAATCAATCTACGGCCGAAACCGGTTTGGCTGAGTGGTAGAGCGTCGGTCTGCGGACTGAAGGGTCCCAGGTTCGATTCCGGTCAAGGGCATGTACATTGGTTGTGGGCACATCCCTGGTAGGGAGTGTGCAAGAGGCAGCTGGTCGATGTTTCTCTCTCATTGACGTTTCTAATTCTCTATCTCTCTCTCTTCCTCCTCTCTGTAAAATATCAATAAAATATATTAAAAAAAAAAAAAAGAATCAATCTATGAATGTGTACATAGCGGAGCAAATCAATGTGTTTTTTTCCCCTTTCCTTTCCTCTTTAAAATCAATTTAAGACTGGCTGAGATGTCTCAGTGGTTGAACATCGACCTATGAACCACAGGTTTGATTCCCAGGCAGGGCACATGTCTGGATGGACTGTGAACTCCATCCCAAGTAGGTGGTGTGCAGGAGGCAGCCAATTGATGTTTCTCTCTGTCGCTCTCCTTTCTTCTCTCTCTAAAATCAATAAAAACAAATTTTTCAAAATAAAAAATAAAATCAATTTAAAAACACCAGAGTGCCCAATAACAAGCTATGTGTTCAAAGAAGAGAAAGGCAGCTAGGGTGACAGGGTGGAGTGAAGGAGGGGACGAGGGAGGGAGAGCCCAGGGACCTAGGGCTGGTGGTGTACAGTGATCATGATGTGGTGTTATCGGGAGATGAGATCTGAGATGCCCTGGGGGCAGGTTGTGCAGACCACTGGGAGGTGTTGGTTTTATCCAACAGGGAATGGGGAGCCACGTGAGGGCTTTGAGTTGGGGAGTGACAAGATTCCATCAACTGTTATTTGATCTCGCTGAAGACCTCATGAGGATTTGGATTATTGCCACTCTACAAGAGAAGACAGGCCTGTCAGGGGTAGCTGGCTCTAAACTTGTGACACTCCCACCATGCTACACAAAGGTTTAGACACACAGCTCCAGGCCAGGGAGTTCCCACCCCAGCTCCTCATGTCATTCTTAGGAGAAAGTGTGTGAAAGGTCATAGCCAAAAGCCCTCATTTCTCTGCTGGGCTCTTTACAGATTGAAAAGGCCAAGCAGGCTCCAGAAGGACAGCCACGGATGGATAAAGCCGGCACCCAAGAGGTACGTACAAGACAAGGCTGCCAGGGTCTTCTCCTCTCTGACCCCTGCTCATCTCTCTCCCTCTTCCTGCAGGTGACAGACTTGGGAGCTCTGTCCAGGACCTGTGGACTCATCCAGCAGCTCCACGTGGCTTACAGCACCCTAGCCTCCAGCCTCCAGGGGCTCCCAGCCGAGCTCCAGCAGCGGGTCAGGCAGGCGAGACACAGCCTCTGTGCGCTCTATGGTGTTGTCTCCTCTGCCAGCTCCATTGCAGAGCTGCCAGCTGAGCGCCTGGCTCAGAGCCGTGAGAGTGTAGGCCAGGCCTGGCAAGAGCTGGAGAAGCAGCTGGAGAGCGTGCAGCACAGCCCCCCACTCAGCTGGCTGGTGGGGCCCTTTGACCTGCACCCTGGTGGGCAGCAGCTATAGGTCCTTCTCAGAGCCTCCTCAGCCCCAACTCCCTGAAGCTCTGGGACTGCCCCATCCACCTTTCCTCCCGAGCATGGCTGGCCTAGGAGCCCAGGATTGCTAAGACCATTGACAGAGGTCTTATGTCAATGAGATCCTGAGCAAGCACTCCAGTTATAAAAAAAGAAGTGAAATGTGACTAAGTCTAGAAGATTCTCCTAGCAGTCCCCACTAGGAGTCCCATCATCTTTGCTGGGATAGAGGTCTTCTACCCAGTCTGAGCCTTCAGCTACCAGCTCAGCGGGTAATCCTGCTCCTATGTACTCATTTTGAAAGCGTCTCCCCCAGACCTAGCAAACACCTTGCACCACAATGTAACAGAATGCCACCACCCTCCGGAGGCAGGGTCCCAAGTGCCTTTGCTGAATGTGGCCTAGATAAGGGGCTTTATGAGGACAAAGCCACCAGCTGCCCCCCTCCCTCCAGCTTTTCAGGGCCTGCCTTGAGGACTGCATTGCTTAGAGGGACTATGGGGGGAGGGCTACAAAGCAAGCCCCTTCCGACCTCTTCTGCTTACTCACCTGCCCGGTACTACAGGCCAATCACAAGATCACAGAGCTGAGATTCTGTCCCTGGGGCATCTGGGCCCAGAGGCTGCCCATGGCGGAATGAAAGGGTTTCCCCACAAGGGACAGGGCCCCAAGGAGTACGGGACAAGGTGCTGAATGATCCTTCAGGTCTTGGTAATGTGCTCCAGGCTAGAGACCAGGGCCTGCGATGGTCGGGAGCATCCCTGCAATCCCAGCCAGAGGTCCAAGCCCCCTGCCCCTGCCCCCAGATGTGAAAACTCAGGATGTTGGCCTAGGCTTCTCTCCATCTGGGAGCTGGACATCAGAACACCAGCGGCCCAAGCCAGGTCCAGCTTCCATCTTCCCAGAACCTGCACCATGCCGTCAGCACGCCCCGACACTGTACATCCTTCTCAGAAATGGTGAGGTGCTCTGAGTTCTAGGATGAATGGGCTGACTCTCCCTAAGGGTTACTAAAGGCTGCCAGCATCTGGGAGGGACTCCTGCATTGGGGTGCTGGCACCCGGCTTGGCAAAGGACCCAGTCAGTGAACCTTCCGAGATGTTCTTTCCAACACCTAAGTTATCCGGAGTGAAGACACTGGGAATACAGCTATTCACAGAAACCCAGCAGAGTGACCTGACTTCAAGTCCAGCCAAACTAAATAGAGGGTGGGCAGGACTCAAAAAATCCCTGCCATACCGCAGTCTCCCTCTTAGTTAGGATGCGTGGACTCACCCAGAACAGGGGGACACAAAGGAGGCCACTGTTTAGCCACAAACTGCCGAGGGCAGGTGCCTGGCTGGGAGCCACACACACTCATCTTCCATCTAAATCCACTAGACTTCCCTGAGAGGCTGGAGTCACCCCCTATCCAGGTGAGAAAAGACAAGCCCAGAGTGGGAGTGCCACTTGCCCAGTGTCACACAGGGAGGCCTGCCCCCAGTGCTTACGCTCTCTGAATGTGTAAAGAAAACAACCCACAGGACACTTCCTGGACTGAATGCCCCGAACTGGCAGTGCCAGGCACATTGGTTCTTGACAGGGCCGGGGGTGGGGGGGTGGGGGGGGAAGGGGGCCTCACAATGCCTTCTGCAGCCTGGGCAAGAGGGAAAACGACTGAGCCAGTGGAGCATGGTAGCCACTGTCCCAGACCTGCCCTCCTGGCCTCTTTGTTTCTCCTTTCTGGGCACTGGGCAGCCAAACCCAGGACATCAAACCACAGCCTCCATTTGAGCCTCGAAGTTCAGAGAGTTTTATTTTTCCTTTATTAGTTTTGGAAAGGCCTTGCTCCCACCCCATTTCTTCAGCATCAGGCCTGCCGGGCCAGGAACGCCATTAAAACCAAGCTCACATTCACTGTATAGGGTGACACTATGGCTTAAACCCTTTGTCCCCAATAGGGCCCTTGACAGCTACAGACCTCTCCCCATTCTAGCCCAGCTGCACCAGTAACACTAGAAAACCAAGCCAATAAAAGTGATTTTTTTCATTAAAAAAACCCTTTATAGTCATTTCATGTTGGTTGGAAATCACAGAAATTGGGCAGAAAAAAAACCCCAAGGGACAAATACAAATGAAGAGCACAGCATCTCCCCAACAGTTCTCTGCTCCCTGGGCGGCCGGGAAGGAGGGGGCAGGCCTACGGGCATCTACATGTCAGGCGGGGCCTGGCCGCCGGGCTGCCCGGGCTCAGCTGTCCTCGTCGTCCAGGGACTCAGAGTCCACGCGCGCCCTCTGGCGCTCCTGCCGGTCCTTCCCAGGCCCGTCCAGGTCGGGGCCCTCCCTCGCGCTGCTGGTGAAGCACAGCACGGTGGGGGTGAGCACACTGCCTGTCTGTCTATCTCCATCTAACAGCCCGAGGCTCATCCCGCCGTGCCCAACGCAGTGGGTGTGTGTTGAATGGTCTGGGGTTCTCAGCAGGCCGCACACCAGACCCGAGGATGCTTGTGACAGAGACTGCCTGCACCCATTCCTGGAGAGTTGGGAGGAAGCCCCTGTCCCTAGGATCTGATCCAGGGCAGCTCGCTCCCTCGACTGGGGCGTCCAGAGGGGTCTGCTGCGAAAGTAGGGGATGGGAGGCCAGCACATGGGGGCCAAGTCCCTGGGACCCTGACCATGATAAGCAGCCCAGACATCAGGGTGCCTTCTCAGCAAGTCGCCCCCACCCCCTGCTTTCTTAGAGTGTCACCCCCAGTGCCACAGCCCCAGGGACACTTACTCATTGTGTAACAAGTCTTCAGAGGAGCCCCCCACCGGCCCCTCTTCCGAGTTCTGTCCTTCCTCCTGTTCCTTGTCCTCCATGCTCCCACCCTTCTGGGATGTGGCCTCACCATTCACAGAGGCTGAGAGATCTGGGGGAGGAAAGGGCGTCATACGACACAGTGGTGCTATTGCCCAGGACCCGTCCCTTCCTTCTGAGAGCAGCTTTGGGACAGGGGACACTGCTGAAGGTCCCTGGCCCCATGTGTCCACAATCACCTCCACCTCCGTGCCTCCCAGCTGCATGGGGACTATCCGCTCCACTGGATAGTCCCCACGCTGGCTGAAAAAGGGAGGGGCCAGTAAATGAGGGCCTGCTGGGCTAGCCCCCAGGTTGCTGAGGCTTCTTCAGCGGAGCCAACCAAACATCAGTCTGAGCCAACCAAACATCAGTCTGAGGGGCTGCTCTAAGCATGTCATCAGGACCAGATGACCCCAGCAAGAACAACTCCCGCCCCAAAGGCCGCTGTCCTTGCTGGAAACATCCTTTTTCCTCAGCTCACCCATGACCCTCCAGCCCCAGCCCAAGGCCTCTGCCTCACAGGAATGTTCTCACACACACACACACACACACACACACACACACACAACCTCCTACACTGCCTGACTCTGAGAGTCCAGAGCCCGTGAGGGGCATAGGTGTGTGTGTGTACCAGGCACCAGCTGCCTTGGGAACACAGCCAGGCCTGCGCAGAGAGCACCAGGACACATCATATTGTTATCAGGGAGGAGCCCACCCAGCTCCTCACCAGCACCGGCCTCATCCTCTGCCCTCTCCGACGGGGCCTCCTCTCCAACTGGAGCCTCCTCAGGCTTCTCCGCCTCAGTCGGCTCCTTCTCCACTCCAGTCCTGGTTGCCTTCTGAATGGCCTCAATCTTTGGTCCCAGGACCCGAGACTTGAGCCGAGTGTAGACTTCTGCAGCCTTCTCCATCACCTCCTTGTTGGCCTTGTAACGGCGAATCTGCCCACCAAGAGGCCTGGCTCAGGGAGTGCAGTGGGCCTCATTCCCCCCCACCCCACCCTAGACCCTCCCTATTGCTGCCACCACCTGGGCACCTCCCACAGAGACTGGCACTCCCCTAGGCAGTCCACCAGCCCTCTCCTCACCGACCAAGGGCAGCTGTGGCTAGGAACACAGGCTCCCCAAGCAGACCCCAGCCTGCTTCCAACCCTGGGCTCCAACGGTACCTTTTTCAACGTGGCCACCACATCAGTGTTCTTCTGGAGGATATGTGAGGTCACCTGCAGGGTCCCAAGCTCCTCTAGTGCGTTCAAACACCTCTTCACATCCTGAGGGTGGGAAAGTAAGAAGTAAGGAGGGACAGCACCTAGGCGACCCAATGGGTCAGAGCAGGACGCCTTGGGGCTTTCCCTGTGGAAATAGCTGCCGAAAGACCCAGATTAAGAGGGTTCTTGGGTCCTGTCCACAGCGCCAGCTGGCAGGGACACTGAGCATTGCACATCAGGACGGCCCCCAGCTGGGGACACACAATAAAAACAATGGACCCCCCACCCCGTCCCATCAACCCCGAGGAACCCTGGATTTGCCTCAATTTCTGGAGACTTCTAAGGGAATTCTAGATATAAAGAGGTGGCAAGGACTGCTTCACTCAGAGAGAGTGGCTCTTTATGACCCTAAGGTGTGTCTTACCGGATTATCGACCTTGAGGGCAAACTTGATCTCGCTGTGCAGTTTCTGAAGCTTCTCCTCCACGGAAGGTTCTGTGGCCAGGAGAGAACGCACTGCCTGGGCCTAAGCTCCCAAACCGACTTGGCCACAGGCCTGAGCACTGGTACGTGACAGAAGTAGCCTGCCCCCTCCCGACCTCAGCAACCGTGGGCTGCAAGACCTTGGCAGCAACTGTGACAGCTGACCCTCACCTTTCTTCTTCTCGACCTTCTTGTCGGGTGGGAACCCCTCTGACCGCTTCCGGGTTCGTTCCACCTTCACGGGCCTGTGAAGACTCAATCCCTTTAGGCCTCTGATCAACATCCATGAAGCCAGCCTGCCCCAACCACTGCCATCCTCCCCAAGAAGGCCGGGAGCTATCGAAGAAAACCTTTAGGAGGCCCCAAAGCTGTCAGGGACCATTGAGACCTGATCTAAGACAGGCACCTGGGACAAAACACTTGAAATCTCCAAGTTCTTTCTTTGTTTTGTTTTTTTGTTTTGTTTTAAATATATTTTATTGATTTTTTAGAGAGGAAGGGAGAGAGATAGAGAGCTAGAAACGTAGATGAGAAACATCGACCAGCTGCCTCTTGCACAACCTCTACCGGGGATGTGCCCGCAACCAACGTACATGCCCTTGACCAGAATCCAACCTGGGACCTTTCAGTCTGCAGACTGACGCTCTACCACTAAGCCAAACCGGTTTCGGCTTTCTTTGTTTTTTTATACGTGGCTGAGGGTTAGTGTCTAGTACGTAAGACCCAGAGAGTAAGTTATAAAAAGGCGATCCACCTGGATATCCATAGGCAACAGTAACACTCATTAACACGGTTTCAGTTCTATACTCTACTTGGCAGTCAGGCTGCAAGTTCCCAGTGGACAGATTCCAACCGATGGCTAGAATTCCACTTCAAAATGTTGGAGATGTGCTGGCCCCACAACTCAGTGGGTCTTGGACTTAAAAAGCCCGAGAACCACTGGTCTGGGGACAGTTCCCCCCTTCGGCACTGTTGACATCAGGGCCAGGTCATTCTCTGTGAGGGGATGGGGGCCATCCTGCATACTACGGTGCGTTGAGCATCCCTGGCCCCCATTCACTTGATGTCTGGAAAACCCCAGTCAAGGACAACAATCCTGAACAGGGGACACTTCAATAGGATCTGTTTACCAAACTAAATTTGGAAGCCCAGCCCCCCAGTGAGAGTGGGAACCTGGGGACCAGGGTGGACCTCGGGGAGCTATGGCAGACAGGCTGAGTGCCGACCTGGATCGAGGCTTCTCCTCAGGCCGCCCTTTCTTCTCCTTCTGGCTGGGTCTCCTCACAGACTCTGTGCTTTGTGGCTGCAACTTCTTAGCTGATTTCTTCACCTGCAGCAGCAACACAGAGGGGCTGGAATGGCAGGGGCTGGCTCTGAACTCCTGAGCCATCCCCCGTGGGAAGACACTTCCTGCCACCACCTTCACTGCTGGGCGCTGGCAGAATGGACAGGATGGAATGGGAAAGGTCCCGTGTCCCCTCCATCCCTGGCAGCAGATCTCAGGCCCTGAAAGGACTGCCAACAGTGGGGCAGCCCTTTGTATTCCTTCTTCCAAGCAGGACACTTCCTGAGGCAGGGAACTTGGTCCCCCCTTTGGGACAAGGGAAAGGGACTGGGAGAGAACAGGGTGTTGTCAGGCTTTCTCCATTCCCACATGAAGTGGAATCCTGGTCTAGAACGTGATGGACCTTGGAAATCAGACTCTCGGATTCAGGCCCACACCAACACATGGTGCTTGATTGTCACCACTGCCCCTCACTGGCATCAGAGTCTTCCTGACTGCTCCCATGCTCACCCCACAAGCTGTTACCCATAATGGCCAGAGGACACATGTGAACATCTAAGTCACATCTACCCCTTGTCTGCACATAGACTTCAGGTCTCCCACCTCTCCCAGGGTGAAAGCCTAAGTCCTCCCCACTGTCCACAAGGCCCTGCACATCTTGTCTCCATTCCCTCCCTGCCCTCACCTTTTTCTCTCCCCCTGGCTCACTCTGACCCAGCCATACAACCCTTGTTCTTCCTGCAACATGCCATGCATAGTCTTGCCCCAGGACCTTTGCACAGGCTATGCCCACAGTCTAGGATGTTGCTCTCCAAGTTATCTTCCCACATCACCTTCCACTTAACTCAGATCCCTACATGTCACCTTCTCAACCGATGCCTTAGGGTCTACCCCATTTAAAATAGAAATCCTTTCATCTCAACACTTCATGTCCTTCCCTTTGCCTTAATCATCTTAGCACAGAACGCTCTGGAAAGCACCATATAACATGTTAATGTTGTCTACTCTTTCTCCCTCCCTCAGATATCAGGTCCTTACCATCAGGGGTTTCTGTGTGTCACCCACTGCTTTACCGCCACTCCCCCAGCACCCAGAACAGTGTCTAGTACACAACAGGTGCTCAATAAACATGCTGGATAAAGGAATGGACTTGCTTGAAAGGGTGGGTGTTAGGGAGAAGCCTCTTCAGTTATTCATGTTTCCCCATCACCCTCCCCCTCATGGGGCTACCAAGACCCCCAC